TTGCCTGAGGAGGGGATTGTCATGTCTAGCGGCTACGTCAAATCGTTTCTCCGCGTTTTGTCTTATTGTCTGTGTAGCGTTTGTGTATTGTAAGTCTCGTAATATGTCAGTGTTTCTTACGTACCAGGGCGCGTCGGTGGCCGTGCGGAGGGCTATGTTTTCCACAGCCTGTAATGACTTTAAGTGGCTTTTTGCCGCGTGACCCCACGCCGTGGAGGCGTAGGTTAGCTGCGGTTGAAGTACCACCTTGATAAGCGTTCGCTTATTCCTTAAACTGAGGGTGTTTCCACCTTTGAGTAAGGGATAGAGCCTAGCCCTGGTGGTCTTCGCTCGCGCCACCGTCTCCACGATGTGCGGTTTCCACGTGAGACGCTGGTCCATCGTCACGCCCAGGTATCGTGTTTGTCGATTCCAGGAGATAGGTTCCTGGGATAGTGTCAGTCTGTCGAGGTTTTGTGGGATTTTTCGTTTGGTAAAAAGGATAGCCGAACTTTTGTTGGGATTAATTTTGACTTTCCACCTGTTGCACCAGGTTTCAAGTTGGTCATTAAGTAGCGGCTGTACATAGGAAACTAAACGTGCTACGATTAAGGGGTAAAAAATATATTAAGAAATACGGCCAAAAGAAATTAATTTAAAATATTTTTAAGTTTGTAATTTCACCGCTAGGGGGCGCAACTGCTATAATATTTCAGAAAATCCTCGTTTTTTCTAAATTTCGCTTATACAGGGTATCCCGTATAAGAACCGATACAGAGCAGGTGCATGTAGGGGTGTCCAAAATATTGTAATTTAACCAAACTTACCTATATACAAATTGGCACCCCTGAGGTGTTATTAGACCCCCAAAGTAGGGCCCCAAATTTCGAAAAAAATTAATATCTCGGTAACACTTTTTTTTTTTAAAATAGTAACATTAATTCACAGCAGAATTTAATAAAAAATTTTTTTTACTCGTTTTCAAGAAAAACCGTTTTGGCGGACACCCTATATAACCTAAGATAAAAATACACTTTTTAGATACACTGTTAAATCCCTCACAAGTTTTGTTTAAACTTTTTTTTTTTTGTTTCCATATAGCAACGCCAGTATAATAAAGGACGCCGTCTTGAAATTTTTCAATCGTCATTACTTCTACATAAATGCCTTAATCGATTTAAAAAACGACGCGACGGCTCATTTTAAAGAACTATTAATAAAATTTATTTTTACTATAATTTGGGTATAAACGACTAATTAGAAAAGTTTTGTAATAATTGTCTCCGTTTACTAAAAAAAATAAATGCAACGATAAAGGTTTTTTTCATAGCTTAATAGACCATTCACTAAGAAAACGAATACACAAACCAAAAGTCAATATCTTTTTCGTTTTCAAGTTATTGGTAAAATAGTGAAGTTGTGCTAGAACATCTTCCTTTATTTAGTTCTCTATAACATTGACATAGTCCAAGCCAAAATTAAGTTGTAAAACTGTACCAAAAAAGCACTTATATATTATTATTTGAATTTTTGTTTAATAACCGCTATGTTTCATTTTTTTATTAATTTCAAATATCTGAGTATTTGCAGGCTATGTCCTATGAAAATAGACAAATGAAAAGTTATGTCGAACCATAGATCTAATATAGTATACTCTATTAAATCTATGAGTCAAACGATGTGTGACAGGTGACAGCTCTTGCTTCCTGCAAAATTAGTGTCATTTTGTGTGCGAAAAGTACTTGTTTTCCATATGAAATTCCCAGCTCTCTAATTCCCTAACACTTATTTGGGGATTTACATGGACATAAACCAACACATTAATAATAATTATTATTAATATTATCTTCCGTTCTTGCACCGTGCATGGCGATGTCGTCTTACAAAATGTAGTGGCGTCGTCTGGCGTACTCTCTTGAAGACGGCATTTTCCAAACATTGAAAATAAACTGCCAACATATCATACGCTTCCACATTCGTAAAAGGCATTTTCCTTGTTCAGTACTTTGCCAATACAAATAACATTAATTTTGCACATAGCAGGAGCTGTCACATTTCCATTTCGTTTGGCATAATTTTTCAGTTGTCTATTTTCATTTTCACTGCCTCATTATGGAAACAATAATCTTTATAAATACTCAGATATTTGGAATTAATAAAAAAATGAAAAATATCGTTGCATTTAATTTTTTTAGTAAACGGGGACAATTACAAAACTTCCAATTAGCGTCGTCTATCCCGTTGAGCAGGAAATTAATATAAATTTCAAGATGGCTTCCTTCATACTGGCGTTGCTATGGTAATAGCAAAAAAAACTTCAAACAAAACTTGTGAAGGATATGGACAGTGTATCTAAAAAGTGTATTTTCAGCTTAATCAAAGCGAAATTTAGAAAAAACGACAATTTTCTGTAACACTATAGCAGTTGCGCTCCCTAGCGGTGAAGTTACAAAATATTTTAAATCATTTGGCCAGATTTGCTTTGTTAATAGATTTTTTCACAGATGTCCGTGGAATATTAAATCTGTGGATTTTTTACCCTTTAACCCCAGCACGTCTAGTTTTCTGTGTACAGCCGCTCCGTACCGTTAATGGATCACTTTGTATATTGTATGTTTTGTGGTTCATATGGATCTATTTCAGTGTTACCAGATCTCCTGTTTTAACAGGAGATCTCCTGTTTTCACTCTCACTCTCCTGTTCTACTGTTTTCACTATGAGATCTCCTGTTTTTAATTTCAATGTATATTCTTCTGGTTTCTCTATGAAATCTTCTGTTGATTTACTAATTTTCCCCAGAATAAGATTATTTTAGTACGACACTGTTCTCTAACGGCACTGTGTTCGTCACTTGTCAATATTTTCAGTTCTGTTATATTTTCTGTAGCCCAGTTCATGTACATATTTAAATTTAAATCCGCAATTCACGTTTATATGAACTAGGCCTAACAGAATAGAAGGCGAGTTCAACGTTCGTTTACTTCAGCGGGATTCCGGGATTTATCATTTTGACAACTGACTGTTGTCAAATCACGTGACGTATTGATGTAATTGAAAACTATTATACGAACTCCTACATTTATATATTTTGCTATATTTTGTGCATGTACTTATGTTCCTCTATTAAAAAATATATTTATTAAAATCTCCTGTTGAAAAAATAAATCTCCTGTTTTTTTGGCTACATTCCTACTGTTGACAGAAATTTCCATCTGGCAACACTGATCTATTTGATTATGGGATGGGTCCGATGGGCCTACCCAGAAGCAATAGTCTCTGCTCTGGGCCTACCATAACTCATAAGCATAGAAAATATAGTATTTTCTATGCTCATAAGTCAACAAGTCACCACCATCATCATAGTAAAAAGTGAAAATTAATTATTTTGATGACATACTGAATTCTAACTAGTGATGGGACTACTCGAATGAAAATTATCGATTATATCGATTATGAAAATCTCTCGAGATATCTCGAGTGGTCATATAGAATCATTCGATTATTCGGATACGAATGACAGTGGCCACAGCGTTACTAATACGTGCACTACTCGAGCGAGTGCGCAGATGTTTCGATTGTTCCAACGCTCTAACGAGCTACAACATCTCGAGATAAGACGGCCGAGAGGATAGATGAGACAATCGAATATCACCGACATACAATAAAAAAGGTATGCAGGAATTTTATAAGTGTCATCGCGGGGGGTTAGATGGGAGCTTTATTTAGCGGGGATAAAAATTCATATGAATGAAAATAATGCCAAATTATGTTTTCTATATAATTTTTTTTTTTTTCAAATAAATCACAAAAAATGGACCACTTTAGGCGGCGACTACTCATTTTAAACACATGCTGCTGAATCACTCAACTGGCAACGAAGAAAATATGGAAGAAATGCCCCAATCCGCGACAGTCATTCATTTACCTAACGTCAACATGTTTCGCATATGATTTGGGATAGACCGGAAATTTTCAGTGAACTTTCGATTATTCATTCGAATGATCATTCGATTATAAAATTAATTCGAATGGTAACCTCTCGATTATTTAATTCATTCGATTATTCCCATCACTAATTCTAACCATTGTAACTGATCCTCTATTAACGATAATATCTGCGCAGGCAAGTTTATTTTGTAATAAGAAATCCTGTGGAAAAATTAAACTCGTCTAAAGTGTAGAAATGGTCAGACCATGTACAATGTAGTCTAGTCATCTAATATTTTTGTATTTCCCTTTTAAATTAGTAGCAAAAGCTATAAGCTCAATAATACACATGTCTGCTTCTTATTTCTGGTTGTCCTGCTCCTACTTACTCTGCCTCGGCTTGAAGCATGTCTTAAAACTCTTAAACATCTTAAATGGCCATTAAATGGATGCTTAAATTTAAGCATCTGTTTAAATTTTTTTGAGGAACTTAGCTGCAAACAGACATTAACGTTACAACTTTATAGTGTTATTGCATAATATGATTACAACGGAAATAAGTTTGCTATATGTTTATTAACTTTCTTTTTGCTCTTTTATCGATTACATTGTTCTTATATACTGCACTAATAGTAAAACAACAATAATTTTAAACAATTAGATGTGATACATCTTGTGTGTAAGCTGGTAAATATCTTGGGACAGGTTGAACCCCTCCTGTGTCATCCAACCTTCTTTGTCTGATGTCAGTATCACCAGGCCAAGCCCTTTCAGGTCCATACATTTGTCCAATTCTTTGAAACTTGTCCACTACATGGGAAATTGTGACGGGATCGTTCACCCCATTGGATTTAATTCTTCTTTGAGTTGCTGAAGAAGCACGTAAAGATTTTCGTTTCTAAAATATATTGAATTATAGTAATACATGAAAATGAAGAGAGAGAGAGAGAGAGTGAATTTCTCTCACTTATTTTATAACAAAAAAATAAATAATGGCAGTTATTCAAAATAAATTTTAACCATAAAATATGTACATTGCCTTATACTTCAAACTTCAAAAGAACACAGGACCATAAATTCTTTCAAGAGGAAGATTATAATTTGGAGAACTATACTTTTGCACAATATAATTTTGTAAATAAAATTTCATAAACCACATGATAGTGTAGCAAAAGTCACACTAGTGTGCTTTGCTTATACATTTGTTTACTTGCACTACTCGCACGATTCGAAAACTAAATTTATAAATCCAACTCTGATTGATCCTTTTGGGGCAAAGGGTTATTTATTAAAAAATGTATATATTTATAATTTTACTCAATCACCTTCACTAACATCAGTTTATTCTTATTGAGCATTTTGTTACTTTGTTCTGGTAATGTCAAGGTTTGATCGATTTTTGAAAATATTTAAGAAGCTCCAGTAAAAAAATTCGTATTTCTTACTAATTTTTTATTTTAATTTGGACTCAAATTTAAGTCCTTACTAACCATTAAGAACTCAAATCAGTCACACAATTGTAAAGTACTAGAAAAAAATATTTTTTAAATAATTTTGAGTAATTTATACTTTAAAAAAATTTTGGCGGTCCAGTATTTTACCTTCCACGGTCCGGACCCGGACCTCGGTCCGCCAGTTGCCGACCGCTGACCTAGAGCATCAATTACACCAAATTTTTGTTTATCTCCCTTCTCCCCTGTGAAGAAAGTGAAGTACACTGTGCATGTACCGTACCTACTTTTCATAATTTTAGTGAAGCGAGAAATTTGTTTTTATTTGATGCACAAGTTTTTTTTAATATTATAACAAAAGGATAAATATGGATTCAAAATACCTCTACAGCCCCTCTCCACTTATCGGCGGCATGTCTGGCAAGTTCCATTCTTTTCTGTTTCTTTATTTGATGTTTTTTGTAGGCCATTTCTATAACAATGAGGCCAATGCCCCCAACAATACCGGCACCAACCAGAATAAAAACCCCTGCCATATTCTTTAAACCCAAAGTATTTGGGGTTTTTTCGAATTGTTCGCACTGCTGGAGATTCCCCTGTAGGATCCATTTGTTATCGAGGCTTTCCATGAAACCACCTGAAATGGAAATAAATAAATACTTTGGTCGATTCTCAAATATAACAATTTATTTTTTTTCAATTAAGTATATCACTTTCTACAAAATTGTAAAAAATAACTTATAATATGAACAGAATTGATATTTCAGAGTTGACTTGAATTGGGGTTGCCAATACCGAGTCGATGCTGACCCGCAGAAATACTTCAACAAGAAAAATCATATATCAAATAATCGTTATAAATAATTTTTTTTTTTTGTAAATTAGGAAAATAAAACAAAAATAATTTTTTTATAAATTATTCATATTTATTTACAAGAACAATAAAGCTGACATCTATTATTTTACTTTAAAATCACTTAAAGCTCTCAGTTTTATCGCTTTATATTTTAATATTTTGAAGCCATTTTTGCTATATTTTTTACCTAACTGCTTTGAAAAAAACATAAATCGTAGTTTATTTTTAATATGGAGAGCAGTACAAAGTTAAAGAGATATTGTTCAGTGCCGCAAACATATCAGAACTTGTATCATTTTAATTCTCCAAGAAAGAAAAACTCACAAGGATATGGAAAATCAAATTAAATACAGATTAACTGGTAAGAAATATATAATATATGTCGGAATGCCATCTATTTTACAACCAAACATGCATCCTCTCGTGTGGCAATTTCTCAAATTTTTCTATAAATAATTCCATCTCATGTGATGGGAATTACAAGACGAAAGTCTGTATACAGAGTTTAATCGAGCATCCAGAATTTCAATCTGACATGACTTTATATTTAGCTTTAAACAAATGTTAGCCATATTTGTTGGTTGATTTTTTCTGTACATAACTCACATGCTGAAATATCAGAGGGCTCCAGAAACCTCAGGCCCAACCTTGTAATACAAAATACAATACAGAATAACATAAAATACAGTAATGCAGGAATATTAAATACAATTCAAGTTCACGATAATCAAAATTATGATTTGTTTTCCCTATAAATCAAACAAAGACAGTACCGTCTCTTGGGCGCCTATTTTCGACAATACGAAAAATGTATTTGTTCCGTAACATAATTGCCTACATATAATATAAACATCTGTAAATAAATTCTATTTAGATCTGACAATATGGCACGTGGAAGCAAGTATCTGGATATGAATAAAGATAAGAAAAATTTGTAAAATATTATACTTTGCCAATGATTTATGTTCTAAAGCTTTTAACTAGCTGTAAAATTTTCAAATCAAATATCAAAATCATGTCAACAAATTCTGTAAAATAAGATTTTGCTCATTCACTTCCATTCTCATATCTAATACATGATTTTGTCTCCTTGACTTTGTACCATTGGTCATTGGTGAATTGCAATAGAGATCAATAGGAAATCTTCAAACTTTTTGGTCACGACTACAATTTTTAATGGATGTGAACTCCTAAGGATAATCACAACACCCACTCACATTTTCACTGAAATGAGAAGAATGCTCTTAAAATCAAATTTGTTTATAGATTTTTAAAAAACAAATGTATTGCATTGCATTTTGAGGAAGTTAAATGTCAGTAAGTTTTCGATTTTCTTGTAGACAACGAAGCGTACAAGATAATCGAAAGCCACAAAGTTTCTCAGTAAGATTTTAAAGCAAGTACAATTTTGTTGAGGTTGAGGTTCCTGAATTGAAGCGAGCTGTAATATTATAATAAATAAATACAACACTTCATTCCTACTTAGAAAACAGTTACTAGACCTACGTAAGACTCTTATAGACTATCGTATGCCTTTCTTGCTGATCCTCGAGTTTTTATTAGAATAAAAATGTAAAATATTACTTACTTTCGTGAAAGTCTAAAATAGCCAAAGTCACGTCATCTGCCCAAGGAGATCCTTTTTGGAGGCCAATACCGTACCCGGAACGCCCAAACAATTCCCCAGCTGTAACCAATTCACAGTCTTGAGCTGCCTCGAATTCCAACCGTGAACTGTCCCAGATAAAAGCCATGAGTTTCCTAAAAGTTAATGGCCAATTTTTGAACATACATATAATAATATATCAATTAAACAGTAAAATGTTCCTTTACCCGTGTTTTACGTCGTTGATAGCGCTTTCTGCTGTATCATAATTATTGGCTTCCATGGTCCTGTACATGTTAGATAATTCGACTTGTCTCCTGAAATACATGTCTACAGCAGACCCTTTTACCGTGGCACATGTCAGATTCTCCATGGTATTCCGGAGCTAAAAATATAATTTAGAATACTCAAAGTGTGCGATGCCCTGCAATATTTGTGCTATAAAATACAAAGTTTAAATAAATGCTTACGTACTCTAGCATCGTTTATGCCAGTTAATTTTGTTTTTGGCCTTTCCAGTACCAGAAACGCAGCCAAATTTGCAGTGTAAGAAGCAACGATTATCATAGCAAATCCAGCCCATACCATTCCTAAAACCCTTGCGGAGAAACTACGAGGTGTACCTAAAAGTGTATGGTGTAAAAAAGAGAATAAATTGTCTCTGCATATAAACTGTTTTAATTGTAACGGTAAATAAATATATCCTAATGAAATTTAGTTTTTGAAGCGAGAAAACCGCAAATATCTGAGAAAATCAAAACTGTAACCTCTACAATGCCTATATGGGTGAAAAGAGAATTTGTCTTTCTATAATATGGTGTAAAAAATACAGGGTGTTCCATTTGAATTTAAAAAGTTTTGTCAGTTTTAAGTTTTCAAAATGTAACGTAAAAAATGGTTCACTTGGTATGTATACATATACATATATTTTTTATTTTTCTTGTAAATTCGCAACAAAGGTATTTTCCCTTTTCAAATTGAAATTGATCTATTTTACAAAATACCTAAAAGGTGCAAACAATCCTGAAGACAACTACTGTAACCGAAATTGGAATTATCTACTTTTTAAACTATACAGGCTGTTACAAATTCGTTTTGCACTACAGGGATCTCAGAAACGGTAAGAGCTACGAAGTAGCTTAAATGGAGGCAAAGTTGCGTAATCAGGGGACCAACATTATGCCTCTAAAAAATCAAGGCTAACATGATTTGTTTTCGAAATATTTGAAAAAAAACTGAAATTTTGGAAATCCGTTTTTGTTTCATTTCAGCCTTATTTGAGGTGGCATTGAAAAAAGAACAACACTTTCCCATGGCCACTTTTTGCCCTCAATCGAATGGCATAATCAATTTTTATATGTAAAGTTTAAATAACTAGTTGGATATTACAAAGGAATCTAAATAAAAAATTTAGATAAATGTCTGAATCTGATGGCAGTACATTATTGGGGGTCATGAAGGCTTGCAAAAAATGTAATAAAATTTCCAGGTCCTATTTAAAAAAATGAAGTTGATGATGGTTCTGGCGAGATGAAACGTACATATAAAAATGGATTATGCCATTCGATAGAGGGCAAAAAGTGGCCATGAGAAAGTGTTCTTCTTTTTTCAATATTCACCTCAAACAAGACTGAAACGACGGAAAAAACGGATTTCCATAATTTCGGCTTTTTTCAGATATTTCGAGAACTAATCATGTTACTCTTGATTTTTTAGAGGCATAATGTTGGTCCCCTGATTACGCAACTTTGCCCCCATTTAAGCTACTTCGTAGCTCTTACCGTTTTCCAGATCCCTGTAATGAGAAGCGAATTTGTAACAGCCTGTATATTTGCAGACTTAAAAATGAAAATCATAGAAACATGTTATAATAATTACAATGGCTTTATTGTTGTCCGGTGAGAGATCGAGCAACTTGAATAGGAGTTTTTTGATATTCAGATCATGGTCTTACGTTTAAATAAGAATTGTTGAAGCAATTAGTTACCTTCACCGATACCACTATTAAGGAGCACTCCCCATGCAAACCAAATTGCACTAGACAAGTTTAGAGCGTCCTCTTCGGTTCCGTCTGTATTTGCTAATTTAAATCTACCGAATGGAGAAAATCGATCTAGTAAGTATAAGACAAGGGCCACCACGTGAACCGAAACCATAACTAAAATCCACAATGTATTACTAAACGGCTGTAAAAATGACACTAAAGTAGATGATCTTGAGGGCTGAAACAAATATTATTTCTGTGTGTAGGTAATGCAAAATTAATTTGTATAAACGATTACCTTTTTCTCTAGAATAGTAATTCCTTGGTATTTAAATGGTTTACTAAATTCTATGAATTCTGCTCGTTCCGGATTTATAGTCAGTGGTGCAACTATCATATCGGCCCTCTCACCAACCAGTTCACCTATTAAACCAGTCCATTCCTTTTTGCCACCCACAGAGAAATTTTTTATAATGTAATTGCCAAATTGACCATCTGGAGAAAGGGCCAGACTATAAGTGAAATTAATCTTTTTTGATAATTCCTTCAATAGATCCATACAATATCCTTTACAACAATGAGTTACGTGTACTGAAATTTTTTTATGTATTAGTAAACTTATAACTTGGGGAATGTTTAAAATTAACACCTGCCGTGTTAAAATGGGGACACGGAATTTCTTCAGTGGTACAAGCATCTTGGGGCTCTTCTAATTTTCTAACGTATACGAAGGGTTTCTCTTCTATAGTCAAAACCTTTAAATGAGTCGGTATCATAAATCCTTCTGGCTTTACACTTTGCCGTCCTGGCCAAATTATGCTTTTTTCATCGACATTCAAATGCATTTTATCGCTTTCCTGTAACAAAATGTGGTTTCGATATCTTGAGAATTACCAAAAAAATACTATTTTAGGATATGTTATATTAATTATTAATCATTTTAGTGCCTCCACGGTAACAATTTTATCAAATAATATCAATCTTTACCCTTTTGAAGAAAAATTTGCCGACGACGACTTTTTTCTTCTTTCTTTGAATATTGACTAAATTATACTCGGCATTAATTCTGTCACCTTGGTCATCAAACGCAACTTTTCCTGTCTCCCCATTTATTAGTATTTGTTTTCTGATAAAATTAAATAAGTCTCTTCCGGTTTCCCATATGGAACCCGAGTTGTCGCAGTCTTTTGGGGCTTCAGTTATTTCCTTCGACTGATTCATATCTCTCAAGGCAGATGCCAGAACATAACTGAAACACACTTGTATAAACTTAATGCAATACACGATGTCTAGATTTCTTTTTTTTTAAGTTTCAAGTAAAACCTGCTTACATACTGTCCCGAATGTGAGCCTTTTCATTTGTGGCATTAACAAGTTTCAGTCCCAAGATCCCTTCCGGGGCATTGTCAGCTTCTAATGCTTGTTCTGTGACTATCCATGCATATCCAGCATCGGTCATATTTAATGCAGCTGCGTCATGGAATATCACTTTAGCGTCTGTCTTGCTGGAAAAAAAAATTAAATATCTCTAGGTCCCTTCAAAAAGTTGGCATCTTTTTATCTACCTCGCATACATCAGATAAACTCTTGCTTGGGCATTCTTCATTTCCTTAAGTTGGTCCTTAAAGCTGTCCAAACCTGATTCAAATTCTATTACCGATTCAACCTTAAACAGGATTTTCTAGAATGCTATTAGATCCACAACCAATTTAGTATACCTGAACTTTAATGTCCACATCATCTTCTAGGCTTTGAGAAGTTGTTTGAAATCTGCCAAGTAAGGCTCTTCCGTCTGTATCGGAACTATGAATAAATATAACTTTTTTGTAATTAAAGTATTTTAACATTTCTACCCAAACGTCAGCCTGATGTGAATAGGGAGGAACCGTTCTTAGAAACGATACATGAATATTCTGAAATTGTTATGCTAATTAAAATGTCTTTAATGTTTGTTATAAGAAAGTTCTTTTTAATATTTGATTAGCATGCATATACAGGGCGTCTGGAAATTAATGACGAAAGGACTATACTTCAAGAATCGATTCCTCAGATGAAAATAAATTGATTTAGATCAAGTTACCTTAGTACAATTTTTCAGGTGAATTTTGCTTCTGCAAGAAGTTAAGAGCCTTTGATAAGTGTTTTGTTTCATTTTTAAAAGGTAACTTTGTTACTTCTTTAGATATTTCAACAAAATTTGGTAGGCAAGAAGATTTTGGGTGGCAAAAGATGAACATAGGTTTTCTTTCTAACGCATAGATGTAGGGATTGCTAAGAATACCCAAAATAGTTGTTTTATTTAGTTTTTAATATTTATTTTGTTATAGAGATTTTTTTCGTGAAAGAACATTCTTTTACCAATTCCCGAACTACACAAAGCATTATTTAATTTTTATTAACAAGCAAATAAAATATTTGATGAGAATTAAATCAGATTTGTATCGAAAATCTATTGGTAAATAAAATAAATGGAAAATTGCAAGTCAGAAAAAACTTGGAAAAATACATTATTGTGTAGTATTAAATTTCCTATTTCTGTAAATGTAATATTTATGTTATTATTTGAAAAAGTGAAGTCTTATTTTGATCCCAAGGAATCTGTGTTATCTTGATGTACACGGAATATTGAGACATCCTGTATATCATAGCTAATTTAGAACACCTTATCTGAGAATGCCGAGTCTCTTGATGAAATTCCGATAACAGGAATATGGTAAAAACCACTTGTGTATGATACTGCAGCAGGAGACAAATCTCCAATGAGGGGATGGGATACAACCACTGCGTATACCTGCAGAAACTACCTATTAGATAAAGTAAGTAAATGACATGGAAATTTTTAAGAAGCTACACAAGTACCTATCTGTTTGGAGGGTTAACAAAATCAACTTTAAAGGTATATAGCACTTACCTTACTGGAAATCAAATATTTACACACATTTAAAGCAGTTCGTATGGGATTTGGATCCATTAAAATTGCAGTGTGATAGTAAGTAACTCCTTTTGGAACATACTGAGAATCAAAATTCAAATGCTGCAAGAGAAATATAACACTTTAAAAACATTATTATGCAAATTAAAATTACAGAAACAAAATAATACTAGGTATAATACATCTTAGGATGAAAAGATCAATATGTTCTATTATTATTAATCGACCAAATGTGTCGATTCCGTGATAAAAATTATGTAAATATTGTTTGATTGTGCACGAAGCACCTTCTGGTATTATCTCCTTTTGCCTGCCCTGACAGACAGGATTATTACGGGGCACTGACTGATTTTGTTAATGAAACCCTTGGCTTGATTTTTCACTTATTTAATGACTTATAATAAGTTCTCACAAGGTGTCTTAACACTACTCTAACCTAAACTCTTCTGTCTATATGTGTATAGGGCTTATATACCAACACCCTCGCTTTCGTCCCGTACCTCAAAACAATGAAGAGGGGGGTTGGACGGAACCTTATGGTGCGTGGCGGAACAAATATGTATACAAATAGTTTTGCTGCAAAATGCTTCATTTCCGAAATTCATGCATGATGTGTTCGAGTCATAACTTCACGGGTGTGTTAATTAATCCGAAATAAAACCACTGATTTTCAAGATACGTATATGGAGTAGAAATTAAAAACATCGTATTGTTTCAAATATCATGATGTTTTACATTAGTTTTAAAAGCTACGCTATTGGTGAACTTGGGCTATTGACTTAATAAAGACAAACATTAATAATTGAATTACAATACAGATGTTATCCATTGAAAACTGCAGAGGTGTTACGCCACTGATTTTCTGATGTACATTTTTTGACCCAAAAAAAGGAGTCAAAGTTTCGGTAGATTTTTCGCATAGGTATTTCCGATTATTTTGCAATGCCTACGCGCGCAATTTGCACAGGAAAGTACAACTTAGAAAAAATATTAAGCCCAAGATGGGTCACGTATCACGTAAAGTTCATCACTGTATGATTTATTTGTCTTTTTTTCGAAAAACTCAATTTTTGCCAAACTATCAAATATTTTGTAAATTTACAAAAATGGATTTGAGTCTCGTAAAAAAAATCTTTTTTCGTTTTGAAGACGTAGAAGTTTTTTAAAAATATGCGATTTTAGCTTTTTTTGCAATAACTAATACATTTGTTTATCAATTGACATCGGGCTGGGCTCAAAATTTTTGTTATAAAAAGTTCTACAACTTTTGTCTAAAACAGTTTTTCCCAAAATTTTTAGTTTCTTTTAAATGAAAACAACAAAATTTTTTTTTGAAAAATAAATGTTACGCTACTGTGTAAAGCATAAGAAATAACTTAATGTATGCACCTACCTAGAACTCTACGTATAACACACCGTCCCAGAAAAAAAATAATCTCAATTTTCTACAGTAGTAGATATTTTGGTGCATTTTAGATTTAATTTCCGAAGAATAGGGAGGATAACTAAGGGGCCAGGGCCGGATCTAGGGAGGGACTACGGGCAAGATCTGGCATTTTTCTTTTTTAGAATCAAAACTGTTTAGGTTTTGAAATTTTATATCATTTTTTTTTAGAGTCAAACAAAATTATGTTTAGGTTTTAAAATTTAACATCGTTTTCTTTATTTGGAGAGGGCCTGCGTAGAGCTTGTAGCCCCGGTACTCACCATAGGTTAATCCGGCCCTGCAATGGGAGGGGGTCTACATTTTATTCTATGCAAGTGATTTTATGAATATTCTAACTAAAACGTAGTTTAAGTACTTACATCAATGGTCTCCTTAAAATATTTTTCGCTATCATTACTGCTTAATACACCCCCGATATTAAAAACTGTAGGATTTGGAGAATTCCAATCCCGCGAACTTCCCGATACAAATGCGACACTAAGTCCACTTAACAAAAAAGCATACGTTACTATGTAATACATATTTAGATATTATATTTTAATGAAACAAAAGGGATTGTTAGATAAATAGATATTTTTTCACGCGAGATAAACTAAACGATGCTCGTTGATGTAGAAGGGTGTTAGATTGTAGGCAGGTATCGATTTTTGTGATGCTGTAGTCTGGGAAACTCACAACTCACTGGATATACCGCACTAAAAATTACGGTTGTGGTACATGATAAAAAATTTATGATGATAATATTTCGAAATATGTATTTTGTGTAAATTTTTATTGTATGATTATATTTATGTAGTCTACCGACCTGTTGTAGGCATTATTATATGCACAAGGCTTTTAGTAACATCTCATGAAAAATTAATATTTTCAACTAAATTTAATAAAATAAGTATGCACAATCATAATCGGGCTTCGCTAGACACGTTCTTTAATTAAAAAAAAAAGTGTTTTTATAAGAGGTCGGTATTAGAAAACAAAAATTGATTAAAAACATATAAAATTTGTATTTATGTAAGTTACGCGTTTTGCGGTAACAGATATATTTTTAAAAACCTTTACTAGCTTCAATAAATTAGAAGAATTACAAAAATATTGTAGCAGAAGACTTTATTTCTCAACGACTAGAGAACAAGTCCTACATTCAGTGGCGGCTCGTGACATTAAGAATATATTCAAAGAAAAAAAGCGCCGTAGGCGAAAATGTTCAAGGTCGATAACGGCTTTAAATGAATATGGAAATTTTTAGTTGCATTTGCAATATTACCAAAAAACTGACGTTCGCGAGAAGGATTTTCATTTAGGTTTTTTAAAAAATAAATTAGAGAAATTTAAAATAAATCCTTTTTGCCCCCAATTTTCCACCTGGAAAATGACGTTTCCAATAAAATACAAACTGGATCATACATAGAAAAGATTTCTACAATTCTTGATACAAAACAAATATTAACAAAGAACCGTTATAATCGTGCACTGAGCGACGTATTGTATAAACTGTTTAAAGGCAGACGATGGGCGATGGCGATGCTGCTTCAATTTCCGCGTCATTCCCCACTAAACATTTTTCAGTTTCTGACATGTTTCAGAAACGTTTCCATTTTTCTTGAAACGTTTCATAAAAAATCCATGCAACGTTCTGGTAACGTTTTAGAAGCCCAAGATGTCCTCCCCAAAATACGTTTCCAATGAAACGTTTCAAAAAATTGGTTTCAGTAACATTCTTTTTATGTTCCATTTATGCCCTCGATATTTTTGTTTTACGTTTCAGTATATTTTCAGAAATGTTTGAGTAACATAATAATTTTATTACCATATTGTTCTCATAATGCTCTCAACTTTAGATCATTTTCATTTCAAAAGCGTTTTTGAAATAGTATAAATAGTGTGAGTATTTTTTTAAATATCTCTAATACTCCTTTGTGATATTTTTATTTGTATTGTGAATGACTTAATTCGAACTAAAAAAAGTTACATTGTATATTAAAAAAAATAAATATGCTCTTCTAGTTTGGGGATGCGGCAACTTTTACTAAGAATTTCTTTCTTTTTGAGAAGCCACTGAAAAAAGTTTCTAATATGGATTATGAATTTTGCCATTCATCGTACAAATAAAAATATCACAAAACAATATCAGAAGCATTAAAAAAAAGCTACACATTTTATATAGTTCAAATACGCTTCTGAAATGGAAATTTTCTAATGTTGAGACCTTCATGAATATGGTAACAATGACGAACTGATAATTAGAAAAAGTTAGTTATGATTATGAATCTTAAAATGGTAGGTACATGAAAAACAAATAACATTACTGAAAAATAATATAAAGTTATAATTTCTTCTACGCATGGTCAATATTACATATATCCTTTTAATAATAATAAATTATACAGCAGAAATAAGGATACAAAATGATATCTTGACAAAGTAAATATCTGTAGGTATACCTAAACTCTTTTATTTAAGCATGCCTATACACATAAACAAATATAAACATTTGTACAAAATATAAAATAAATGACGTCTATTTCACTTGATTCATCCATATTTCAAATAGTTCTCACTGACTAAGTAGTTGCTCTTCAAATTATATCGAAACGTATAGTTGTTGTTCCATTTTCTTAGTTCTTGTCCCTTGTCCTCTTGTCTGTAATAGGTAGTGGGTATAACTATATTTAGGTAGATGTGACGCAAAATTGGAAATCTCTACACATATCGTTTTAAACATTTTGCATCAATATTCATTATTTTATATGCACCTTACAATAACCACAACTGCACACACTACAAATTATCACATAAAATAGCGTCAAAGTAAAGATGAATAACAACGAAACCAAGCAAACTGACAAACCGCAAACCTAACCTAACATAATACGAATTGAAACGACACACGGGAAACAAATAAACTCGGGCTGTTACGCGCAGTCTACGCAAGTCACGAACATACATTTTTTCTAGACTTGTGTTATAAATATGCTACCACATTTTTTTTTCTAATTATGTCTTTATATAACAAAGGCAAATGAACTAACGCTTGAGAAGGATTGGGGATTGAGAGCAAAATTTAACTAATGCCGAATGTTCCATAAGATAAGCAAAAATAGCAAAGGGTTGTTCGTCTGTTATGTTTCCGAGATCGAAAGGGAATGTTTCGAGTAATGTTTCAAACTCTCTTCAATTGTAACGTTTCGGCTATGTTTCACTAAATAAGTTTTCAAGTGCTACATTTCTGTAATGAAACAGAAACGTTTCTAGTTAATGTTTCAAATGTTTAGTAAAATATCTCATTTGCAGCGTTTCATTTACGTTTCGTGTTTAGTGGGTCGTTTCCCCACGTCGCCTCATTGCCATGACAACATTGACAATCGCCGTAAACAACGCTATGAAGTGAAGTGGAATACAAAATGATTTCGATCCGCTTCTTCTGCTTATGCTATACCTCGTACGGTACGAGATTGATGTTCGCGAATTTTAGGCGAAGCGGTGCGTCACTTCGTCATCTGACGAGCCGCCACTGCCCACATCATAAGTAAAACAATATTTTTTAGGTGGTACCTATTCCTTAGAATTCTTCTCATCTAATTTCTAAAGATAGCGGGTTCACGAGCTCGTAACTTGTACAACAGCCCAAAACAGAAGTAAGCATCTTATTAGGATTTTTTTGTAAAAAATAGAACATCCTAATAAAGGCATATTTATATGCGTCTTTGGGAAAAATCATTTAAGAAATATGATACAATTTTATTACAGATTTCTCCTTGAACGTGAAACATGATGAGCACGTCTCTATTTGTGGTAATTTTAGGTGAAATAGATCGAAAGTTGTGGGTAAATGTAGGTAGATGTAGGTTAAAGTAGACGAGATTGATTTTCTTAGTTGTTTATCGTATTTAAAGTAATTTCAGTAAAAAATAAAAAAGTAAATTGTAAATCCACAAGATAAAATTATACCTTGTTTTTATGGTGTACAGATATGTATATAAGAAAAGAATATTAAATTATTCTCCTCAGTGGTAAAATACATATTAATCCAAACATAAACGCAACTATGATGTTACCCGTAAGTAGTTCATAATAAGTTTTTAAGAGTTATACCTATACACAATACACATTGTACATGTACATGTACATTCAAGTTGTACAGGTACATTACCTATTATTATTGGGACTACTAAATTAGTAAAGTGCATTGAAGTTTCTGTATTAATTTCAATAGAAAAAATATCACTCTGAAAAATATACTGTGCTTTGATTTTAAAATAAAATCTACCTGGTGTTTTGTTTTCAGAAAGTTCATATAAACTTATTATTTCCATAGTAAACGTTCAGGGTAATGCATCATAATTTTTTTCTTGTTGAAATTTACTGGTGTTAAGATATTTGAATTGAATAAAATGTTAACATATATACAAAGTTGTGTAAAATCAGCTGAAGCTACAAAAAAACGCAAACGTCATTTTAAAAATATACAGGGTGTTTCTTAATAACGTGCTAATATTTAAGGAGGTTATTCTTGGGTCCATTTTAAGAAAAAAACTTCATATGAACATATGTCCTAAAAGTCTTAACCTTTGAACTACAGGGTGCTAAAGTTTTATGAAAACAAATTTTTTTATAACTTTGGTATTACCCTAGATATTTTTTCAGATTTGGTACATGCCTTCTATTCATCGAGATCCATTTTCTGATGTACAAACAATTTTATTATTTTTACCAGTGGCGTCTGTACTCTGTACAGGTTTTGTATTGAATATTTTTGAAGAAAAATGTCACGCCAGGGTAATTTTCTTTTACCAATCCAAAATGTATGTAGATTACTGTAATTTCATAATTTCAATGTTTAGAAGTTATTATCTTAAATAAATAAATTATTGTTCAAAATTAAATTTTTTTTCCTCGTAAATAAGATGCAAATGAATGAATTTTATTTTTTTATGCAAAAACCGTACGTCAAACGAAAAAATTCAAGACACCACATTTGCTCAGAAAGGAATGAGGATTTCAAAAATGATTTTTACTTAAAGAAAAAGCAGTGGCGTGACATATTTTTCTTCAAAAATATTCAATACAAAACCTGTACAGACGCTACTGGCAAAAATAATAAAATTGTATGTACATCAAAAAATGCATCTTGATGAATAGAAGGCGTGTACCAAATTTGAAAAAATATGTAGGGTAGGTAATACCAGTTATAATAAAAAAATGTTTTTTCATAGAACTTCAGCACCCTGTAGTTCAAAAGTTAAGACTTTTAGGACATATGTTTAATTGGAGTTTTTTTCTTAAAATGGACCCAAGAATAACCTCCTTAAATATTAGCACGTTATTAAGAAACACCCTGTATAATCGAAAAATGGATTTAGTCATTAATTTATTCAATTTCCTTGGATATATTTTTTATTAACCCCGTATATTTTAATTACATTGGATAAAATTTAAATTTATGAATCTAGTAATATATAAAATGTCACTGTTTTGTCGTGTAATAAGCAGAATAGTCGATAAAATAGAAATATACTAGTACCTTTGGAAAATTGAAACAATTTTTATTTAAAGATATGACAAAAAGTCCTGCTTCTATTAAAATGTAGTTTTAAGTGATATACAGTACAGGATTATTAAGAAATACACAACTAGACAATCTGTTCCTCGACATTTAATAATGTTCACAGGTTGTCAAAAAAATTTTTATGCGGAATTTTTACATTTTGGGAACAATAATAATTTGTAATGTATTTTTATTTTTCAAAAATTAATGACGTGTACAAAAAAAAATGTGTAGGAAAACTTGTTCAGTTTTACAATTTATTCCCATATTGCAAATTTAGAATCAGTCGGTGTATTTTGGTTTTTTCAATTAATTAACAATTCAGTTATTAGAAGCTCTTTTGAATTATAATTCATATTAAAGTCCTAAGTTTTGTGAATAAATTTTCTCAACAAAATGTTTTCTTTGCTTCTGACAAGGACTACTAAATTATTCAGAAATCAAACTATGTTACAAAGGACTCGAACAGGATATTTCTCAAATTGACAAAATTTCAACTTAATTTTTTTTGTTCTCGACACCTACGGTTAAGACGACCGTTTTCTTGAAACTAACTAAAAATAACATTTTTCTACATTTGAACAAAAGCAGAATTTTTTGACAAGACTAACTTTTTTCCATTAAATGTAAAAGATTTTTTTCTTTTCAATTCCATTCATAGACACATTTTATAATACCAAAAGTAGACAAAATTGTATACTGCTGAATTAGTAATTTAAAATATCAAATAAGTATCAGTGAAAGATCGCCGCAGTATAATGTATTCCTATATTATTTTGCGCAAGAAATACAGGATCTTAAAACTATCTGTTTCGATTCATCAACCAATCAAATTTTAAAAATGATATTTCTTTGAATTGGTCTTGAGTTATACTTATTGTAAATTTCTAAACTGATGTTTTTGTAATATATAATATATATTTACTTAGTTGTTTTCTCCTTCTAGTTGCGTGACCTACATATCATCAGATTTTTGAAAAATTATATTGTGTCGTATAAGAAAAATAATTATTGACAGCTATAAATAATTGGCCAATTTAAATACTTGAGGGTCATTTTCATTACTTATGGTCACTAATTTAAAAACTAAACAATTGCTGTGCTATGAAATATAAAATAGTAGCAAATTTTTTATTGGTCATATTATTATATACAGGCTGTTACAAATTCGCTTCTCACTACAAGGATCTCGGAAACGGTAAGACATACGAAGTAGCTTAAATGAGGGCAAAGTTGCGTAATCAGGGGACTGACATTATGCCTCTAAAAAATCAAGGCTAACATGATTAGTTTTCGAAACATTTGAAAAAACCGAAATTTAAAAAATCCGTTTTTGTTTCATTTCAGCCTTGTTTGAGGTGACATTGAAAAAAGAAGAACACTTTCTCATGGCCACTTTTTGCCCTCTATTGAATAGCATAATCAATTTTTATATCTAATGTTTCGTCTCTCCAGGACCATCATCAACTTCATTTTTTTAAATATGGCCCTGGAAATTTTATTACATTTTTTGCAAGCCTTCATGACCCCCCAATACCGTACTGCCTCAGCCCGAACCAGACTCAGACGTTTTGTCTCGAAAAATTCATCTTCAGTGTATTCGTTCGAAATTTATTTAAATTTTTTATTTAGATTTCTTTGTTTATTGAATTATCGTACATTGTAAGTGTCGTTAGACCCCATAAAATCTAAATAAAAAATTTAGATAAATTTGGAACGAATACACTGAAGATTAATTTTTCGAGACAAAACGTCTGAATCTGGTTCGGGCTGAGGCAGTACAGTATTGGGGGTCATGAAGGTTTGCAAAAAATGTAATAAAATTTCTAGGGTCATATTTAAAAAAATGAAGTTGATGATGAAAATTGATTATGCCATTCGATAGAGGGCAAAAAGTGGCCATGAGAAAGTGTTGTTCTTTTTTCAATATTCACCTCTCAAACAAGGCTGAAACGACGGAAAAAACGGATATCCAAAATTTCGTTTTTTTTCAAATTTTTCGAAAATTAATCATGTTAGCCTTGATTTTTTATAGGCATAATGTCGGCCCCCTGATTACGCAACTTTGCCCCCATTTAAGCTACTTCATATTTCTTACCGTTTCCGAGATCCCTGTAGTGAGAAGCGAATTTGTAACAGCCTGTGTACATCACCAATTTAAAAACTTCTGATTTTTTTTTTCAGTTCGAAATATTAGTCATTCTCGTCTGGAGTGTTGAAGGTGTTGATATTACATATAACCAATTTAGTAACAAAACAAAACGGACTTTACCTCAGCATTCATTCAACTATGGAGAGACAAAACCTATTTTGGTGTACAGAGAAAGTTATGTTCCACCTGTCTTCCTCAGTGATGATTATAGTAATTTAAAATCGGAATATAAACATCCAGTAGCTATAGACTTACCTGAATCGGTTAAATTCTATCGTCCTCAGCATCCACCTCAACAGATGATTTACGAATTTCCCAAACTATTATCTAATGGTCAAGTTTTTAATAGAGACAATCAATTAGGGCATTACAAAGAACAATCGTTAATAGGCAGTAAAAACTTTGCACCATCTGAATCGGTGGTTTTACCTGTAGAACAAAGAGAACCTGACGTAATCGTGCCTCATCATTCCACCGGCTATCCTACTGCCAATGTTAGATATAAATTAGTTCCATTTAGAAAACATATCGCAGATGGAAATGAAAAGATAAATTATGCATTATATAATTCTCTACAGGCACCTTTTTATCATTCTCCTTACGTTAATCAACATACGTATCAGCCACAAGTAAATCCAATACCTCTATTTCCAAATCAATACAATTCACAACATCAAAAGGCTCAGAGTGTACCTAATGTCAGTTACGTTAATCACCACTACAAACCAAGGAAACAAAATTTAAATGGTCCCAAATATATCCCAACTCTCCATGGTAGAAATAATGTGCACAGAAAACCTTTACAAATGAATCACCCCTCATTAAAACCATCTTATAAAAAAGATGAAAATATTGCGCCCAAAAACCAGGAGGAAGAACTAGCAACAAAAGAGACACGAAAAATCGAAGATAGTAATGATAACAAATCGGATAGTGAGGACGAAGAAAACGAACAAGATCCTCGTTACCACAAACATCCTTTCGATTTTGAGGAGAGTGACCATTTCGATTATAAAGACTTAAAAGATCTCACAGATGAAGAGTACGATCAAGACAATAAAAGAAGTTCAACAGCACGCATACCTTTAAAAAAACTTTCCAGTAAACATACAAAAAATGGCAAATCAAATGTAAAGAATTTTTATAAATTTCAAAACGACGATTACAAGCAAGAACATTCAAAACCGAGATCAAACAAAAGTGACACTAAAACCCCTAAAATGATTTACAAATCTATTAATTTCGCTAAAGAGAGTGACGAAACTAACGATGACTCTATCGAGGCTAAACATTCTGAGAACATGCCTGTTATCCGTAAACATCGACTATTCAGAGAAAAGTTGTACCTCTCAAATATAGATGACGAAGAGAAACAATAATTATTTAAATCATTATTTAGATTGACAACTAAGTGTATGGTAGTGTGACAGTTTATAGCCATTATATGAATCTCGAAAAATATTACGTTTCTTGAACGAGCATACAACAAACAAATGATATTAAATACGTTGTATGTACTTTACTCTACTAGCTAAACCGTAGGAAGGATGCTTCCAAAAATGTCACCCACTAAAAGACAACTGAAGTGTTTACTTATGTAGAGGTTTATTTTCAATAAATATATAAATTTCTCCGACTTTTTTTTATTTGAAATTTATCGATATTGATTTATTAAAAAAATATAAAACCAATTTCAGAGTACAAATACATGACCAGTAAAACAAATTGACGGTAATCAAGTTGTTTTTTTCTACAAAACTAGTAACTGAATGTTAATAAATATCTATCAAAAATTGATGGACGTTTTGTGGCTAAAACATAATCCTATGACATATCATGTACAAAAAACTTCTTAAAAAAAACTATCGGAATTTTTTGTTGCTAAGTAATAAACTATGCAGGGCGATACACCAAATTGTAACAAAAAAGTTCCAAGCAAATGTAGATAGACATGAAAAATTTTCCTGGTAAAAATATTCTACACTAGTTTTAATTTTTCAAATGCCACCATTTTCCATCTTTTGCTTTCATTTCTTGCATAATTATTCCAAAAATGCCAGTGGCCCCCATAAAGGTTGCACCTTGTTTCGGCCAAATGGAAAATATTTTTATTTTATTTAAAAGAATGTATATTGATTTTTGCTTGTCTGAACATCAAATTAGAACAATCTAGATTATTGGAGAATTTTTAGTTAAATTCAGTATTTTGTTACATCTGTCCACATTGTATAATAGTCACGGGGATTTTGGGTTTATTATTAGGACCTGTTGGTACATTTTCGATTTTCCTCATTACTAGCAGACCGTCTATGACTCTACCAAAAATTACATGTTTTCCATCTAAAAAATTGCATTTAGAGCAAGTAATAAAAAACTGACAACCATTAGTATCTTTCCCGCTATTTGCCATTGAAAGAAGTCCTGGTGAATCGTGTTTCAATGTAAAATTTTCATCTGCAAATGTGCCACCACCATATATACTCATAACGCCTGTACCATCTCCCTGAAACAAAATAGTAATATAATATCTATAAAACAATATGCATTTCAGTAATAATAACTTACGTTAACAAAATCACCACCTTGGATCATAAAATCTTTAATTACTCTATGGAAACTTGCTCCTTTATAACCCAAGGGAACACCATCTTTTCTAAATTCTCCTGTACAAAATTGTCTAAAATTTTCACTAGATTTTGGAACAACATCAGCAAATAATTCAAATATCATACGACCAATTTCCTTAAAGCGGAGAAATAAGTTTTTATATACATAATATTGGTATAACCTACAGTCGTCCCTACAGAAACATCAAAAAATACAACAGGATTAGCAGGATGCCGTAGTTGGGCTTGTATTTGATTCCAATTCGGCATTTTTATTTTATTACGTAATATGCAACTAATCTGTTTCAAAATAAATATATAACATCTATGTCTCAAAACTTGAAAACACTAAAAACATAAATTGAAATTCGCATTCGCAACACAACACAAAACAGGGAGACTAGACAAGGTCTGTTCCAACAAGAGTCAGGGATTGGTTCCCAACAATCCCAACCGTTCGAAATGTTTGGCCAGCTAAATTCTAAATGTGTCTTCAGTGAATATATCGCAAGAATTAGTTGGATGCACATTTCTGACGGTTTGGAACCAATCCCTGACTCTTGTTGGAACAGACCTAAGGATTCGGAAAAATTGACAAAATTTGTTCAAGAAATGGCAGAAATTAGGGTGGCGCTAGTGTTCCATGTGTTTCAATGCAAGTGAATGTAGCATAATAAATACGAGTGAAGTAAGCAAATAACCAATTTTATTTTTTAATGAGTTTAGTTATAAGAGTAAATAAAAAATAAATATTTATTTACTCTTATGAGTTTAGTAGATGTAGATATATCTGGGAGGTATACTAAGTCATTGTACTCTAAACTGTAGGTATAAAATCGTTTATTCTTTATTCACTATCACCTGGCCATAATAACGTATTGTTTAGTAATGGAAATCAGGTTAAAGTCCAAAAGGCTAAAGTGTTTTTATATACATGATACCGCATTTATCAATTTCAATCACAGTCTACATATGTCAAACTGCAAAGTGCAAAACGAAATTTTAAATGATTATTAAGATAAATAAGGAAGAGAAGTGAAATAAAATGTTAAAAATTTTGAAAGAGTTTCCACCGGGCCCATTACATGTATATAGGAAGAAGGCTTCATTTGATTGGAGAAAGTTGAAAATATTTATTGACTCTGAAGATATTGTTGCATATGAGGTAAGGGTTATTATATTAGGAAATACATATTCATTAAAATCACTACCTGAGGTAATTTGATATTTTCTAATTACTTTTGTTAAATATATTGGAAGAATGTTAATCAAACTTTCCAAAGATTTCCATTAACTCTTATCATTTTCTGATATTTTTCTTGTTTTCAAGGTCTTTTACATGACCATTTCTCTACCTCGATGACTAATGTTGAAATGAACGACCAGGTGAAAAGTGATGTTTGATGCAGATTTTAAAAAGGTATAATGCTGACTGGTTTTCACATTTCTAAAATATAAGTCGAAATGATCTTGTGTAGAAAAGTAGTTGCATATTTTTTCTTAAATGAAAAGCATTTACCATTCTAAAATCTGTATAACACAAGCAAGATCAGTTTGACTTACATACATTTTTTTACAACACTAAACAAAGTATGGTGATGATCACTAAAAAAGAATTAAGTGATAATGTAATAAAAGTAATCGAAACTTTTCTGTTACATTGAATAGTAATATTCCTCTGCAATATTATTTAGCAAAAAATAATCTCAAAATACCTAATAGTGTAGCTACGACACCCAAAATATTGACCTATGGCAGTGATTATATACAGCGTGGTAAAAAAGTTCTGCATAAAATTCATATTTTCGTTAAACAATTTTTTTTCGAAAAACGGTGAGATCCGTCGATTTTTATTTGATCCAGGGCCCCTTGTTATGTGGAAAAATTTTTTTTCGATAATCCACTTACGGCAGCGATGACAATTTTTTTTTTTTAAATGACAAAGCATATTTTTACTTCGTTCAAGCATTCCCGGGTCGATTTGATTTATTTCTAAACGAATACGGTTTCTTCCAAATCACCTGGTCTGTTTGTGTACACATGCGATTTCAAATAGCCCCACAAAAAAAAGTCTAGAGGTGTTAAATCAGGCGAATGCGGAGGCCATTCGTAGACGGCGTTTGCACACGCTTAGGACAATGCCAAATGGTACAGGGTGGGCAATTCGAACAATTTCGTTAAACTTACACAAACATTAGTGTAATTTTACTCGTTTGAAATGTAATTTTGTCAACTTTGTCCTTTTCGGAGCCAGTAATAGTGTAAGTAGACAATTATCAATTATAAGAGGTAAGGTGCATTTTTCTGAAGAAAAAATTGTTATGTAAGACATCGAAATTTTCACACCGTTGTTTAGATAATTATCACTGTCATCAATTTCGAACGAAAAAAACGCGTTGTCATTTAAAAAAAAAAAATTATGTCATCGCTGCCGTAAGTGGATTATCGAAAACAAAATTTTCCACATAACAAGGTGCTCTAGATCAAATAAAAATCGACGGGTCTCACCGTTTTTCGAAATAAAATTGTTTAACGAAAATATGAATTTTATGCAGAACTTTTTTACCACGCTGTATATAACGTTCCGCTAATTTCTAGGGTAAATAGAATATTAAAAAATAATGTTAGTTTGGTTAATAAACATGTGTCCAAAAATGCCTCCTTCAGAAGATACAGCTCTGTAAAAGAGGCCCCAAAAATTCTTTTTTTTTTTAATTATCTCTGAGACGGTTTAAGATAGCTAAATGAAATTTAGACCACAAATAGGTTTGATTAGGTCTTGAAAGTTACTGCTGACAAACTTTTAATATTTTGTACAGGACCGTCCCTGGAGGGGGGGTGCCACTTATTTTGCCCCCAAATTTTTTTTACGGGGACATTTTTAATATTTTGGTAAATAATAATATTTTTTTAACAATTTGCCATAAAAATGGTACTCTTGCTTAAAGTCAAAAAAATTACCGGTTTTGGAGTTATTTGAGGTTTTAACTTGTTTTACCTAAAATAAGAAAATAATTTGGTTTACTTTTATTAAGTAGGCTTAGACTGCAGATTTTTCTTGTTTGACAGATTGGTTTGACACATTGTTGTTGATAGTTTCGGTTTGTTTAACAAGTAATAACGCTTTTAAAAACTTTGAAAATGAATGTGTACACTAATAGTGACTATACCGGTATGTTGTTAACATTAGGGGAATGTAATAGTAATGCTAAAGCGGCGAAAAGAAGATATGCGGAAAAATTTCCAGGAAGAACTGTTCCGGATGCAAAAACATTTTTGAATTTAGAGAGAAGATGCCGTGATACTGGAACCTTTAAACCAAAAAAGGTAAATTCTGGAAGACCACGAGTGGCAAGAATTCCTTAAACAGAAGAAAATATTTTAAATGTAGTTGTTGCGGATCCTACGATAAGTGTAAGAAATGTGGCAAGGGCAAGTAACACAAGTATTTCTAGTGTACACCGTGTATTAAAAGAACAATTATTGCACCCATTTCACTACAGGCAAGTACAAGAATTATTGCCTGAAGATCTCTTTTTGAGAAGTGACTATTGCGAATTATTACAAGCAAGAAAGAGACAGAGTCCTGATTTTTTACAAAATATTCTTTTCACCGATGAATCAACTTTTACTAGACAAGGTATGTTTAATAGTCATAACAGTCACTTCTGGGCCGATGAAAATCCAAAGGTTAAACGTATAAGGCATTATCAACATAATTTTAAGTTGAATGTTTGGGCTTCTACAATAGGCAACCGCCTTGTTGCCTACCATATTTTTGATGGAAATTTAAATGGTGATGTTTACTATGAATTTTTGAATAATCTTTGGTTTATTTCCACTATTAGAAGATTTGCCTCTTGATCTAAGAAGAAATATGTTTTTTATGCATGATGGGGCCCCACCTCATTTTAGTTCACAAGTTAGAAGATGGCTTAACGAACATTTCCCTAATCGGTCGGGGTGCCGATGCTCCTATCCACTGGCCACCACGGTCCCCTGACCTAAATCCCTTGGATTTTGTTGTGTGGAGTTTAGTTAAAGAAAAAATATATTCCAGCGAAATAAATTCCATTGAAGAACTTCAAGCGAGAGTTGAAAATAATTTAAGAATGTTAATTCAAGAACCACAGCCACTTCAAAGTATTATGTTTTCACTAAAAAAACGTTTAAGATTATGTATTCGGGAACATGGTGGACATTTCGAACATTTAATGTAAAAATCCATACCTACTTATTCAATATTTTTCTGTTTGTTTTGTGTTATTTATTGTTTTTTTTAATAGTTTCCTTTGTTTATTCTGTGTAAGTGTCATGCAATTAAAACCTCTTTTAAGCTCAAAATAATTTGCTCTAATTTATACTTGTTGTTTCTGAAACAGTCATTATTCCCTGCGTTTATTTATTATCATTATTTTATTTTTATTAATTCGGTCAGTATTACTTGCTAAAACCTCAAATAACTCCAAAACCGGTAATTTTTTTGACTTTAAGCAAGAGTACCTTTTTTATGGCAAATTGTTAAAAAAATATTATTTTTTACCAAAATATTAAAAATGTCCCTGTAAAAAAAAGTTTGGGGGCAAAATAAGTGGCACCCCCCCTCCAGGGACGGTTCTGTACAAAATATTAAAAGTTTGTCAGCAGTAACTTTTAAGACCTAATCAAACCTATTTGTGGTCTAAATTTCATTTAGCTATCTTAAACCGTCAGAGATAATTTAAAAAAAAAAAAGAATTTTTGGGGCCCCTTTTACAGAGCCGTATCTTCTGAAGGAAGCATTTTTGGACATATGTTTTTTAACTAAACTAACATTATTTTTTAATATTCTATTTACCCTAGAAATTAGCGGAATGTTTTTTGAAACACCCTGTATACAAAATATACATATTATATTAGAAGGGTGGCAATATGTTGAAAATTAAGGCACTTTTACTAAGGTTGAATTTAGTTATCCTTACTGCACATACCTAGTCCAGCTTATCGTTAAGTTTGACCCTGACTTTTGGGACACCCTTTATTAGATAAATCTTATATATACAGACTATCTTACGGTGATGGCCCATTAGAATATTTCTGGGATTATTTTGATTTCAATTTTGAAAATTTAGGCTTTGAGGTTTTTGGGGGTGGTCTCTTTAAATAAATTAATGTCATTGTTGTAGCAGCTCTGGTTATACAGGAAATTACCATCTACTTGCTACATACACCCTCTGTATTCATATCCAAACTCTATGCGTAATTTTTGGGGGACTTTATCAAACTTTCCCATATCTGTCTCTAATGGTCTTCGAGATATTTCAATTATTTCAAAAGAAGTTGCTTTTCGATAGCCTAATTCAAAATTGCCTATTTTTTACATCATGCAAACTGAAGTATTGATATTTGGGAGGGAGATAGGAGGATGCCTATCATTTAGTACAGTTACTTTAAAAACTGTTTAATTTTACATAAGGTGGTGAAAATGTATTGTTGAATTTGCTTAACTAAGAACCGCCACAACTTGTATTTTTTTGTAAATGGAGCACTGTATATTTAATCAAAAATCTGTTGTAGAATTTTACCCTTTATTTATCTATATTACACTTCCCTATACCTATAACAAATGATGACTAATGACATATTGGTTGTCTTGTTTTTAAGTTTGCTAGCAATTTCACAGCCATCATCGCAAGAAATGGTATTGGATCATCTTGAGTGATTAAAATGATAAGTAATTGTTACAAACACTGTCAGTAATATAAGTTAAGAGAGATAGGTGTAGGGAACTGTAATATGTTTAAATGGAGGATAAAATTCTACAACAGTTTTTGATTAAATATTTCATATTCAAAAATCAAGTTTTGGCAGTTCAAAGTTGAGCAAATTAGGCAAAAAATTTTGACCACCCTGTGTAAAATTAAACTGCTTTTAAAATAACTGTAACAAAGGATATTCATCTTTCAAAAATCAATACTTGCAAAATCTAGCAAATATCAGAGCTGTCACGATGTAAAAAATAGGCTAAGGCCGGGTATAGATGAACATATTGCACGCCACGTTTTTCGCGTTAAAATTAATACAAATATTTTTAAGTTTGTATAAGCATTATTTTTATTTATTCATTTATCGGACATCAATACCTTAACCAAAGGTTTGGGAATATAATGCAAAAAAATCACAGAAATAAAATACATTACATTACAAAGTAAATAGAGAATTAAACGCACACATTGATTCGAAACTTTAAATAGAACAAATTCAACTAAAATTAAAAATAAAAATATTTTCTAATATATTTTCCACTGAAAAAAAATATGTGTATTATTGTTATTGCAATTAGTAAGTACAGATTAAAAATTTGAGATCGAGATGAAAAGTTCACTTATGATTGGAGGTCACACCCAAATCATAAAAGTATTACTTAAGGACAAGTAAGAATTACTCCACTTAGTTTATAGTTAAATTCAAGGGTATGATTCCCAGGATAATAGGAAATGTATCAATATATCAATTTATCAAGGGAAAGTATGTTTTTGAGATACCATTCTTAGATTTTATTCAAATTATTCTAAATTTAGAACAATCATTTTATTAACTCCGTTTACCAGTAAAGTTTCATGTCATCTGCAAATAGCAAACAGTGGACATCCGGATCAAACACAATGTTATTAATCAAATTTATAAATCCGATATAACAGCAAGTGGTACAATGATGGCGTTATTTTATTTAAAGAGAGTATGGGCCGTCACCGTGATAGTCTGTATACGAATATACAAATATACATATATATTATATGTACTCTAGTATATAAATATATTTTTTTAGCACGATCTCTGCAAAGAATTGCAAAAATATCCAGAATATATTATTGACGATTCATCTATAAAAAATCTTCAAGAAAGAAGACATGTGGCAGCTAAACAAACATTCGCACATAAATCAATTCAACTGTTATCATTGGAAAGCCTAATTCAAAATCTTAAACGGCCAACAGCTTCTACAAGAATTATGATGCAATTTTTTCCAGATTCGACAATAAAATATAGTGTTTCAGATCGTTTATTTGTTACTGCCATTTTAAACATGGGCACCAATCGGCATTTACATTTTGTTAGTGATACAGAAGATGGGAAGGTACAGAAACAGTTATTTACTTAAAGATCTCTTCAGTAAATGTAATAAAACAATTGAAGTTCCACTTATGTCAGTGTCGTATCACATTCTAAGTGTTTTTGTCTTTTGTTCCATTAAAAACGAACGGTCTGCTACCTAGAAATTGGTTCTATAGTTGTATACCATTGTCCTTGCTCTAGGTTATAATATAAACTTGTCTTTCATTAAATGGATAATATATCTAGTTTTTCTCACATTGAACTGATAATGGGACCATAACCAAGCATGATGTTCATATGAAAAATACAATTTTGTCATAATTAAAAAATGGTAAATTAAAATATGGAATTACTCTATTGAGGACATAACTACTTATGGCTCTGCTCTACACTCGTATTTACAAAAATTTTAAATTGATTATTTCATTTATAAATATCCATTTGGCCAAGATATTTTTTTGAGAAAATACGGTGGCATTGGAGTGGGCTCGTAAGCCTACAAGTCTTTCACCGATTAACTGTCACTCTCAGTTTCCAAGATCTCAGTACTAAACATTGTAGAAGGTTCAAACTATATAATTTTAAAGATATGTTTTTAGATCTTTGGTTGTTATTGTCTGACAGAGATAGGACACGGAAGCAACGCCAGAGGGATGAGAACTGTGGCAATGTACGATAAAAGGACGGGAGAATTTATTTTAAATTCACCTGATTTCGAGGCAGCAAAATGCTGGGCTGGAGGTTTGGGCCAGGGTGCTACCCATGCTATTGTTTACGCTAAACTTTTGTTAAACGACACCGATCACGGTCTTCATGCGTTCGTTGTTCCAATACGGGATCCCGAAACACACTCGCCTCACCCTGGACTGACGGTGGGAGATATGGGGGAGAAAATTGGATTAAACGGTGTCGATAATGGGTAAGTAGTATAAAATGTATAAAGGATTTGTCAATTGTTTTGCAAACAAATCATGTTTTAAAATTGTCTAGTTTTTGCTCCAATGGGGTGCTGTCAAATTTTTTAACTACGGAACAAAATGAGAGTAGGTTAAAAAATAAGGAACCCATATTTTTTTTTCTTGTTTCATTTTGACCTCATGAAGAAGCTATCCCATTGTGGCACTATTTGTTAGTTACACGTTTTAACGAAAAACGGACATTTTAATTCGTTTCCCAAAAAAAAAAAAATTATTGCATTGCTCATACTGAATATGTGTTAATAATTCTATTAACAGATTTTTTTTCGATCTCATTGTACTTTCTGGAAGAATTATCCAAGTTACTTAGATTGCATTTGTTTAATTCCGCAATTGTCTGTGAAAAAAATAAAATTATCTCATATGTATTAGTTTAACACCTAAAATGTACAAAAAGCAACAGAAAAATTATTACAAATTCTTATATTTTTTGGATATCTATGCATTGATTAAATTATTTTCATAACTATTTAATGGATCCCGTTGCAGTTTTGTTGAATTTAATAACTACAGAATACCTCGTGAAAACTTGTTAAACAAACACGGAGATGTAACAGAAGATGGCCGGTATGTGACTACTATTAAGGATCCAAATAAACGATACGGTGCAGCACTGGGATCCTTATCTGGCGGCAGGGTCAATATTAGTTGTATATGTGAGGCGATGGGTACAAAAGCTTTAACTGTAGCTATAAGATATGCGGCCGTTCGCAAACAATTTGGGCCGGATGGTGAAGAAGAAATCCCTCTTCTGGAGTACCAGACACACGTAAGTATTTAAATTTCACACTGTTCCCATTAGTAAAGCATAAAATTGACAGATAAAATGTAATTTTTATAATCATTAAAAATGATTCTTAAATTTTAGGTACCTATGCAAAAGATTGTCTAAATATAATTATTACAAAAACACATGGCTGATATATTGAAATTAAATAATAGAATCACTCAAAGAAATATATTATATTCTCGTTCTCACATCACCCTTGTCAAAGACCAACACATAAAACTAACCACAACAGAAACATTCTGCCTAGGCTTTTCCAAGTGGCCTCCTTGAATACATATTAATGCATCTTAAAGATTAATAAGAAATTTGAGCTTGCTTATTAGCACGAAGATCTTTAATACGTGATTGAACATAACTAAGCACGAGTCTAAGTGGTTCTTCTGTGTTAAGCTGATTGTGGAAAATATGAGAAGTTTGCTACTAGCAATGTCGTACTCTTCTTGGCGTTTAACTCAAAAGTTATATGGCAAAACTTCTTCAGAAACTATTTTTAAATTCTTGTTGGCATTTAATTCTAACAGTTGTTAACATTTTTAGAAAAACTTCATTGTTTTTCCTTTTGTGACTATATACAGGCTGTCTACTATAAGGGGGCCACTCCTATGTATCTCGCTTAATACACGATGCACATCAAAAATCTTTATATGTTTTACCTACGACCACTACTGTAAATACTTAAAATCACACCGTCTGCGATCAACGAAAGATTCCTATTACGTACGGTAAAAAAATCGCACAGTTTGGTAAATAATTCGTAGTTTTCCTAGCAACCGCCTAGCAACACAATACAATACAAACAGTTTGTATTGACCGTAAGCAATTATTGTCAAAAAGGCATATTCTTTTACTAATGTTTACTATTTTACTGTTCATTACAATTTTTGATTCTAAATAAACCCTTGTTTTTGACATTTTTAAATTATTTTAATTATTTCAACTATTAGCATTGGAAGTTTCAAAGCCAAATAACTCGAAAACGGTTTTAGACAGCTACTTTCATAAAGTCTACCTTTTTTGTGTAAAAATAGTTGGAAAATAAGAATTTGTAACCAAAGATGAGATACCTTAAAGCACAAAAAAGTTATGTCGTTTTTAACACATTCAATCTACTGCAGCTAGCGCCCTCTATGAACTTTAACCAAAATGTGAACAGATTTCAATTCCTCTACTCAACAAACTCCAATCCCCAAAATTTTGTGAGGATATTTGCATTTGTTAAGGAATAAATTAAAAAAAAACTGAAATAATGTTTTACATTTAACACCCTGTATCTCTTTAACTATCAACTTTTGGACTAGGGTAAGTTCGGCTAAATCGCAATATTTTTACTTGGGGAATCTAACAATGAATTTTGGCCCATTACGTCGCGACCACCCTGTATAAAAGATTTCTTTGGGTATTCCTTAATATCTTTTCAAGTATCCCCGATTGAATGCCACTAGTGTAAATTGTAGTATCTTCTAATTTCAGCAATACCGCTTGTTACCTTATTTAGCTGCTGCGTATGTTTTAAGAATATTTAATACGTATTTAAGTGAAGTTTTTTACCAATTTTCTATCGACACTTTGACTGGAACTAATGTAGACTCACTACATGACACTGGGGTGGAAATACATGCCATTTCTTCGGCCAGTAAACCGCTCGCTGGATGGATAATGAAAGAGGCCATTCAGGAATGTAGAGAGGCTTGCGGGGGACATGGATATCTTAAAGGTAAATAAGTAAGAGAGCTTACCTGTACATTATGTTATGCCGTAAGTAGATAGGCGATTAAGAAAAATCGCAACAGAGATTAAAATTGTTGCGGGTAGATAAATATTTATCAGGTTTTTTGAATTTTACGTAAATGGTTTACAATTTTTGTATTAAAATAATGTCACATCCCCAAATATACAAATATTTGCTTAAGCGACTTTGGAGGACTTATTATTATCATTAACAACAGTAGATTTGATAAATATGTATTTTATTATACAATAACAATAGCAATGATAGATAACGGGTAGATCTGTAATACTGACTATATTGCCTATAAGTTCACAACTTTAAATTTGGATCGTACATCACACCTACCTGGTGCTGCCCCCCAGATGTCGTGGTCTACCGCGGTCGGCTGGAAACAGGAGTGTTTATTTGAATTTCGTCTCTGGTAGACGACATTCTGTGGCGCGGTTCGTTGGTCATTTGTGAGGTCACCCTCGAGCGTAGTCTGGCTCTGGAGTGCTTTGTGACTTGTTTTGGTTGAACGACGTTTGACTTGGAAAGTGAGGTGAAATTTCGACTTTGATTTTTGTCTTCTCCGTCGCTGATATTTTTCGCCGGTCTTCCCTGACTTTGACGCTGTAGCATCTCAGTCGTCAGAGCAGTTTTTGGCTCTGTAACACATAACGGCGGTTGGTTTGGGAAGTGTGGCGAAATTTTGATTAAATTTGATGGTCTTCCCTGACATTGGCTCTTTTTGGATCAGCGGTTAGATTGGAAACCAAGGCACAATTGGTGAATAACTATTGATTAACAAATCCAAAGGAAATTAAATATTAATCCCATAAAATATTTTGAGGAGGTTTAGCTTTTCCTGCCTCCTGAAAATCAGCCACTGGTTTATAGGTACTTTTTTTATGTCCATTGATACATAATTTTACAGGTATTTATTTCTGTTACTGTTTTCTATATATTGGATTCTGTGCAATCTGATTGGTTGTTGCCCCATTAATTGTGTAATCTGTTACGTTTATGGAAAGTGACACAATTTATGCATTTTTAGTGTATTAAAAGCATTAAAAGTGTATTTAATTCCTCGTCTGTTACCTAGAGATTGATTCTATGGTGGTGTACCTCTAGCTGGGTGCTAGTAATTGTTAATAATAAATAAAAAATATACCTATGTCAAATGTTTTAGATAACTCAAACTTGCACTTTTTTGACTCCTATTAAAATACCTTCTAGTGTCTAATATTGGAGATATAAGAAACAATCACGATGCCAATTTGACGTACGAAGGCGAAAACTATGTCCTGATTCAACAAACAAGTAACTGGCTCCTAAAATTGTGGCCTTTAGTATTAGAAGGCAGGAAAATATCAACTCCATTACATTCCGCAGATTTCCTTAGTACTGGGTTGGACATATTAAAGAGCAGATTTTCTGGTACTAAAACAGAAGATATATGTCGTCTGGAAAGTAAGTTATAAAATGGTATTAAATGATTTGCACCTAAACGCAGAGATTAAATTGAAAATTTTAACATTTTATTTAACTGCTTTGAAAAAAAAAAAGAACACTATTATAAACCCGATGACTTTGCATCTGAAATGGGGATCTTACCATTAGAAGTATTAATACTGTACTTAATAATTTTACATTTACAATATTAATTTTTAGCTGTCCTTTCGATCTATCAGTGGTTAGTCTGTTATTTATTGAAAATTACTTTTGACAAGGTTGAAAAAGATTTAAAATCGGGGAAAAGTATTTTCTGGGCCAAGAACGATTGCCAAATATATCGTGCCAAGAATTTGGCTACCGCCTTTATACAAGTAAGTATTTCCTTTCTTATACACACAGTGAATTTTTAATTTTCAGTTATTTTCAATCGTGTTATAAATGAATCGCAGATTTGCATACTAATAAAAAATAATAGGTTATTTAACTTGCGTAAACGATTGTTTTATTTTTTTTAGCATTTCTTCTTAAGACAGATGATGGAAAAAATTAAGGAGGCCGAGGACGGTGCCGTGAGTAAAGTTCTTAATAATGTATGCTTGTTATACGGATTGTGGTCATTGGAGAAGCATATACCGACATTATATCAAGGAGCATATTTTCATGGGTCCGAGGTTGCATCTTTAATTCAAGATTCAGTTTTAAAGTTATGTAACGATTTAAAAAACGAAGCTGTCTCTTTAATTGATGCGGTGGCGCCTCCAGACTTTATTCTTAATTCGGTTCTAGGGGCCTCCGATGGAATGGTAATAATCACAAGTTATTTATTTAACTTCACTATTTATTCAGGGTTATTCTAAATATACAGGTTGTCACGTAAGTATCTGCTAATCTCTCGGGAACGTATAAGGGTGATCGGAATAGTACTAGGATTTTCTTGATGTCCTCAATTTTATATTAAAACTGATCTTTTACTATTACAAGGTATCCATGAAAGCACTGGCCCTAATGCATATCTAAAAAATAGTATTTTTAGTAAAGAAGTATTGCCATCAATTGTCATTTTGGGACAAAATCCTTATTGACAACTTTCCTTAACGATATGTGAATTTTTAATGGTGTGATTCTACATACACATAAAGGCGGTCTTCCACTAAATGGATAAAACAAAAACAAAACACAAACTTGTGTCGAATAACACAGAACTGTAACTTTTCGCAAACTTTTTGAAGACTGGCGTGTTTTGCGACAGTTGGAGTTTTGTTTTTTGGGTCCCGCTTCAAGAAGGCGGTTTTCCACTAAACGGACAAAACAAAAACAAAACACAAACTTGTGTCGAATAAAACAAAACTGTAACTTTTCGCAAACTTTTTGAAGACTGGCGTGTTTTGCGACAGTTGGAGTTTTGTTTTTCGGGTCCCGCTTCAAAAAGGCGGTTTTCCACTAAACGGACAAATCAAAAACAAAACAAACTTGTGTCGAATAAAACAAAACTGTAACTTTTCGCAAACTTTTTGAAAACTGGCGTGTTTTGCGACAGTTGGAGTTTTATTTTTCGGGTCCCGCTTCAAGAAGGCGGTTTTCCACTAAACGGACAAAACAAAAACGAAACAAACTTGTGTCGAATAAAACAAAACTGTAACTTTTCGCAAACTTTTTGAAGACTGGCGTGTTTTGCGTCAGTTGGAGTTTTGTTTTTCGGGTCCCGTTCGAAAGCGGTCACGTCAAAAGGTTTCGACGTGTTTTGAAACTCAAGTCTGTTTAGTGGAAAAGGTCGTGTTGTGTTTTCTATTTAAGGAGGTTCGATACCGAAAAAAAAAATGATAAGAAAGTTTTCAAAGCAATTGAAATCTGTTAATAAATATGCAAACTATCTCGTGTAAAAATATCAGATCGATTGCCAATGCAGTTTTTTTGAAAAATGATATTAAAAATTATGCTCTTATACACAGGCTCTCATGGGAGTTGGGGCAAAAACTTTAATCAAACGTGAATATTGCTCTTAAAAATGGTTAGGATCGGGAAAATAAAATTGTAATTAAAGAATTAAATATTACTAAACATTTTAAAACAATAAAAATATGCACTTACAATGTAATTATTGAGATAATGGAATGAATATATAACGTTTTGACAA